CTCCAGGCCAGAATACTGGAGTGGGTCGCTGTTCCCTTCTTGTGGGGATCTTCCCAACCCAGGGATCGAACCCAGGTCTCCCACATTGCAGGTGGATTCTTTACCAACTAAGCCACCAGCGGTCAGTTATAAGTGTAGAGTTAACTCAAGTGTGTTGTATAGTGAACTGAATATCCTGCATGCACCTGCTGACACAGGTGACATGCTGAAAGGGTAAAAAAACCTCTTGCCAAGGATCAGACCATAACACAGTCAAATCTTCCCTGAATATACATGAAAACTGTTTTCTTGAGAAATTCAAGGTATACTTTAAAATGTGTAAAAAATACTTGTGTTTATGTGTAAGATGAAGTTTACTTCTAAGGTCACATAATTATAAACAGATTTCCAACTTACGTTTGATAGGACATTTGTAAGTTATACAGGGTGAATGACAAGACTTCATTAAATGTGAATGTCCCTGTATGGCAGACATCTTGTATCTGTAATCTCCATGCATTAAAATGCCAGTAAAGCCACCCAATTATTGTGACAATTGACAATGCCCTCACACGTTTTCAAAATGCTGAGAGGGCACTGCTGCCCACTTTGAGAAGCCAAGGTAGAGGAAAGAGCACTGAAAAGTGCTGGAAAGGTGTTGGAAATGAGAGGGGAGCTCACTGTGACCCAAGTCAATATGTTACCCTGGGTCTCAGTTTCCTCATCTGGAAAATGGTCTCCAAGAGCTTTCTGATGATTCATCATGGACTGATATCCTTCTTTTTGCTAGTTGAAAAGTATAGCTGATACACATAAAAAAATGAAATTAGAACACTAAGACCATGCACAAAAATAAACTCAAAATGTATTAAAGACCTAAAAGTAAGACTGGATAATACAAAATTCCTTGAGGAAAATGCAGGCAGGACACTGACGTAAGTTGCAGCATTAACTTTTTAGATCCATTTACAAGAGTAATGGAAATAAGCACAAAAATCAACAACTGGGACCTAATTAAATGTAAAAGCTTCTACACAGTGAAGTTAACAATAAACAAAATCAAAAAACAACCTACAGAATGGGAGAAAATATTTGCAAACAACAGAACAAACAAGGGATTAATCTCCAAAATATACAAACAGCTCAAAATAAAAAACCAAATAACCCAATCAAAAAATGGGTAGAAAAATCTAAATAGACACTTCCTCCAAAGAAGATACACAGGAGGCCAAAAGGCACATGAAAAGATGCTCAATATCACTAATTATTACAGAAATGCAAAAAAAGCTACAATGAGGTACCATGTCACTACAGTCAGAATGGCCATCAACAAAAAAATCTAAAAACAATAAATGCTGGAGATGGTGTGGAGAAAAGGAAACTCTTCAACATGGCTGGTGGGAATGGAAATTGGTGCTGCCTCTACAGAGAACAGTATGGAGGTGCTTTAAAAAACTTAAAATAGAGCTACCATATGATCCAGCTATCCCACTTCTGTGGACACACTTGGAGAAAAACCATAATTTGAAAAGATACATGCACCCCTATGTTCATAGCAGCATTATTTACAATAGCTAAGATATGGAAGCAACCTAAATGACTACTGACAGATAAATGGATAAAGATGTGGTGTGTGTGTGTATATATATACACACAACAGAAGATTACTCAGCCATGAAAATGAATGAAATAATGCCATCTGCAGCAACATGGATGGACCTAGAGAAACCAAGTCAGATAGAGAAAGAGAAACTTCATATGAAATTGCCTATATGTGAAATCTATAAAAGTGGTACAGATGAACTTACTCACAAGAGAGAGAGAATTACAGATACAGAAAACAAACTTACAGTTATCAAAAGGGAAAGAAGAGATGGATAAATTAGGAGGCTGGGATTAACATATACACACTACTATACATGGGCTCCCCCAGTGGTTTAGCAGTAAAGAATCTGCCTGCAATGCAGGAGATGCAGGAGACATGGGTTTGATCCCTGGGCCAGGAAGATCCCCTGGAGAAGGAAATGGTAACCCAATCCAGTAATCTTACCTGAAAAATCCCCTGGACAGAGGAGCCTGGCAGGCTACAGTCCATGGGGTTGCAAAAAGTCAGACACAACTGAGTGACTAAACACAACTACATATCAAAACATATAACCAACAAGGACCTACCGTATAGCACAGAGAACTGTACTCAATATTCTCTAATAAGCTATAAGGAGAAAGAATCTGGAAAGGAATATATACCTGAATCACTGTGCTGTACATCTGAAATTAACATGATACTGTAAATCAACTATTCTTCAATTAAAAAAGAAAAAGAGAAAAAAGCGTAGCTACTAAAAGCTATATAGTCTTGTCTCCCTCTGCTGGCTGAGTAACATGTCGTAAATGTCAAAAAAAAAAGAAAAGATTTCTATGCTTTTAAGTGTTGAAGTTGACATCTTTAAGAATTTATAAACCACACACAAAATGTTAACCAGTTAAAAAAAGACAGACTACATTCAAATCTTGGTTACCATCTTCAGTTTGCTAGGTCCTTTGTAAATATATATGTATCACAACAGTGTCCATCTTTTCTTCATGTAAATTAAATTTAGAAAAGCAGGTCAGATTTCAAATGAAATTGACATATTATGTTGGTCAAGGACTTCTGGCTGGAATTATTTGGCTCATTCTCTCAGATGTCTCCAATGGATCACTATCTCCAAAAAAGGGAATTTTCTGCTGGAGTTAACAGAGAAATATTCAATATACCAAAAATAGTTAACAGAGCATTAATCTCTTAATGGCTAAGCCATGAGAAATCTGTTGCATACATGTTAAATAATTTTTAAAGACTAACGTTATCTTAGCTTCAAACTTGCTATGATGATTTTCGCTCCTTCCCAAATTCATCTAATTGTTACTACTATTTTTGTCACTTTTTGTATATTTGTAAGTTTCTTTAAATGCTTTTGGAACACAAGAGGTTTGGTACTATTTTTAAACTATTGTAAAATTACAGTGCACATGCAAGGTAAAAAAAAAAGAAAGGTAGAAAATAATTGAAGTAGTACTGAAGGGTAGAAAATGAAAAGTGAAAGTCCTCCCTCACTCTCAGAGACACATACAAAGACAACCATTGTTCACAGTTTCTGTTGAATTCTTTAGTTCATTATAATAGTTAAGTCCCTTTGCTTTTGTATTCTGAATTATCAGACTTTAGACTTTTTTACTTCATGGTATATAAGGTGAGTTATTACCCTTATGACAAATCCCTGATTCTCTCCATTTACCTCCCAACAGGTCTAGTTGACTTTTATTTCTCCTTCTCCTAGTGGCTACCTTTTTGTCTTTATTAAATGAAGTCATCTATTCCTTAAATGATCAATGTCATTTGTCAAATGATCAGTATCTATTGATCCTTCTCTGAAAATCAGTAAGTTGATATACTTGTTCTTTTTCATCTTTTTGCTATATTATTATTTTACTTTGTTGACATAATATTTACAGTTTATCTATTTAAACCTAGAGCTAAATTTCCTCTTTGCTGCAGCCGTACATACATGCTTCTGCCTCAGGGCCTGGACATTTGCTCTCCATGGCTCGCTCCCTCACTGGACTTTGATCTTAGCTCAGATGCCAGCTCTCCTGACTAACTGATCTAAAACAGCAACCCTTCTCCAGTCCAGTCACTCTCTGTGCTCTTCCTCTAGTCAGTTTTCTTCACAGCATTTATCAAGGGCTTCCCAAGTGGCACAGTGGTAAAGCATCCACCTGCCAGTGCCTAAGACACAAGAGGCACAGGTCTTGATTCCTGGATCGGGAAGATCTGCTGGAGGAGGAAATGGCACTTCAGTATTCTTGCCTGGAGAATTCCATGGACAGAGGAGCCTGGTGGGCTATGGTCCATAGGGTTGCAGACAGCTGGACACGACTGAGCATGCACACAACAAAAAACAGCATTTATCATGACTTAACATTATATATTTAAGTTTCCCCACTACAATGTAAGCCCACATGGGAAGTTTTGTTGTGTTCCCCTGAATATGCCCAATGCCAAGAACAGGTCCTGGTAAATAGATGCTCAATAAACATTTGTTGAATGAATGAATAAATCCTAAAAGAGGAAAACTGTAGTGTCATAAAAGCTATGAAAATCCAAATATCATTACAGAAGCAAATAGTATATTGCAACCAGTGGAAAAAAGGAAACTATAACCCAATGTCATTAACATATTAATGGCAATCAAATGAGAATCTTTCAAATATCAATATCTAGCATATTCTCTATCATTAACCATATTGTATTATACTTCAATTTCTTTCTGCTACACCTATGTCATCTTCTTTTGGATTTATTTTGATGTTGCTAGAGAATCTTTTCCAAAAATTTCTCATTATGGAGACAGACTTTTTGAATATCTCTATGCCTGAAGATATCTTTTTTTTGCTTCCACATTTGGTATGTCTTAGCTAAATATAGAATTTTTTAAATTTAAAATTTCAGGTTCCAATCCTTTTCTCCTCAAACTTTGAAAACATTGCTCCAGTGTCTTCTACCATTTGATGATGAGAAATCTGAAATTGGTCTGATCTGGATGCTTTGCAGGTGTCATGGTTTTTCACCTCCCTCTGTGGAAAATTTCTGAAATGTCGTCGGAATGTGTGGACCTCCTCTCCCCTCTGTTCTCTTCTTCTTTACATTAACATATCCTCCATCTGCTGACTTTTTGGTTTCTGAGAGGCTCCCTCTCCTTTATCCTCCAGGTTTCTGACTTTATCGTTCTTCTGATCCAGTGGGTTATTTTGGCAATCAATCTTTCAGTGGTCTGACTGATTCCCGTTCATGGCAGACTCTGTGTGACAGGTGCACTATCCTCCGAGTACGCTGATTAGGACGAATTGAAAGTCTCTTCTGTTTTTGAGTTATCTATGTCTCCTACAGGGCTTGTTATCTCAGTGAGTTCACTTGGGTCCTTCTCCTCCGTGCTCCTGCTGCCCTTCCTCTCGTCTGGTGAGCCCTGACACTCACTCAGATGCAGGAACAAAGAAAGGCCTCATTGCTTAGCCTAGACCGTGGCGGGTGTGTTTCTTTAGTAGTGGAGCTCTCCGCTCCCCAGCTGGCCTCCCTCAAGGGGAGCAAGTGGCAGGGCTTGCTTTCCAGCCTGCCTCACCAGATGTGTGGGCGCAGAGGCAGCCGGCAGGCTGGGGAACCCCACAATCACCTAATTAAGGAGGGCTGTACTTTGCATGTAGCAGGTTTAGCGTGTTTCTCTCCCTCTGAGCTGCCTTTCCTTCTCCCCACCCACAGCTGCCTGCCATGGAGTTCTGGGGCTCGGGCTCTGCTCTCCTTCGCCCAGGCTTGAAGCACTTCACTGGGTGCCCTCCTTAGTCCATCTGCCACTTTCTTCAGGAAAAAACACTTGGAACAGTGCCTAGTGCTTCGCAATGTGCTCAACAAATCTTTGTTGAATAAATACATGATGGAAGATGAGTGGGGAGGGACCCAAATCTCCGCGCCCTGCGAGTCCAAGCATGCTTCGGTAGTGAATGGTCCTAAAGAGGCCTTCCTGGTCCAGCCCTGCTCTTGTACTGACCTCAAACTAGCCAGTTGCCAGGATTTCCTTCATTACATACAGTGTGTGGGATTAAGTGCAAGTCCCTCTTCTGTTTCTCTATCAGTGTGATCCCACCTGCTCTCTTCCAGAATTTCGTAATTTAACGAGACCTTGGGAGAGAAAGAAGATATACGCATGCTCAATCTGCCATATTAAACCAGAAATACATTTGAAATTTATTTTCAAACATTTGTTGGACTCTTACAAGATGGAAAATAGAAAAACTTAGTTCAGCTATTTCTATTTATTATATGTTGCTATTTGGAAATTAGGAACATAATGATATACTTGTATGAAAAGCAATGAGAAATGAATTAAAATGTTCTGGTCTGTATTTATCAGAATTACATTTTAATATAGTATGAATACAGTGTATTAATATATGCTAAATATAATACATATATTAATAATATAAATGAAATTTCAGGACTCCTGAGGAAAAGTCCAGTTTTCTCAGTTGACTAGAAACCTCATTTGAAATAAATTTGGCTTTTAAAGAAAAAGGAAGTACAGGGAATATTAAGTTGAAAAAAGAAGTTGCAGCATAATATGATACACATATTACCATCACATAAAAAATTTGTACATATATGTGAGTACATACCTACAGAGGCATATGGTATATACACACATATAGATACAGAGAAATACACATATATAGACAGAGAAAAAAATCAAATCATAACAAAGTGTTAACAAGTTATTTTAGGTGGTTTGGGTGTTTGAAAAGCACCAGCATCGCAAAAATTTATTTCAAGTAAGAGGGATTAATTACATCAATGTTTAATTTGGAAAAAATACACATGGAGGGGCTTGTAGAGTCAGCTCTGATACACTGAGTTTGGAAGCTGTCTCTCACATCATTAAAAGAAAAAGGATGAACAAACTGAAAAATCGATGACTTTAATGGCTTCATTTGAAGTCAACAGAAAATTGAGGCAGCAGGACAAACTGTCACCTCAGAATCTGGAGACAGAGGAGAACAGAGTGAATCAGAGATGAAGATGTTTACCTGAAAAAGAAGCGGCAGGATCCATAAACCAGTAGGAAGCTAAGATGGAAACTCTGATGAATGGCTAAAGGCTGGGTATGGATAGCAACATTAGAGTGAAACACCCTGAGGGGCTGTTTTCTCAGAGAGGCCTCCATACTTCAGTGGGTTTTTCTTTCAGGAACCCCACTAGGTTCTCCTTATGAAGAGCCAAGAAGAAACACTTGTGTTTCTGGCGGGGGGAGGGGAAAAGTGGCCATTTTGAAATATGCCCAGTGTTCGCCTAAACAAAGACCTATTCAGCAGGGAGAAAATACTTCACCAGAGCCTTATCTGACTTGGTGGAAGGGAAATTACCCAAATTAACACAGCACCCCACAGCTTTCTTCTCTCACCTCAGGGGGAAAAATGCTGAGAAACACTTGTGAAAGTTCAGGGACACAGGGCCCATTAAAAGACTTGAGATTTAAACACAGGATGATAGAACATTTCCTCTCTGGCCAATACATAACCAGGTCAACAGGGCCAAGGCCGTAACAGTGGATTACAGCTGAAAGAGCGGCAAGGTGCAGATTCTATTCAATCACAGAGACAACAGGGAAGACAGAAACAGGGACATCAGAGGAAATGAGTCTCTGACACCCACAGCTACAGGAAATATGAACTACAGCCCAACTCTTAGCAATATTAATATAAAACTTTACACGGAACACCTATTGATTTCAGTTATTAACTAATACACAATGTTTGGCTTTCAACAATGATTTACAAGGCATACTAAGTTTTAAGGCAAGAGGCAAAAGGCAAGCATCAGAACTAGATTTAGATACGGCACAAACTTTAAGATTTAAAATAAATATGATTAAGGTTCTAATGAAAAAAGTAGATAATATGTAACAGGTTGGTAATGTAAGCAAAGAGAAACACTAAGAAAGAATTAAAAAAATATTAGAAATTTTAAAAATCACTGTAACAGAAATGAAGACTGCCTTCGATGAGCTCATCAGTAGAGTGGACATAATCAAAAAAGAATCAGTGAGCCTGAAAATGTTACTATATAGTGAATGACTGTATTCCAGGAGCTCCTGTATCTTCTCAAGCTCATATAGAGCATTCACCAAGAGTAACCGCATTATGGGTCATAGGGTACACCTGAAGGAATTGGAAGAGTAAAAGAAAAATCTAAGTATATTCTAACTTCAAAATGAATTAAACTAGGAATCAAGAACAGCAAGATAGCTGGAAAACTCCAAAATTTTTTGAATCGAAGTTTAGTATAGCATGGAGAAGGGACAGGCTGCCCACTCCAGTATTCTTAGGCTTCCCTGGTGACTCAGATGGTAAAGAATCCACCTGCAATGCGGGGGACCTGGGTTAGACCCTAGGGTTGGGAAGATCCCCTGGAGGAGAGCATGGCAACCCACTCCAGTATTCTTGCCTGGAGAATCCCCGTGGACAGAGGCGCCTGGAGGGCTGCAGTCCATGGGGTCACAAAGAGTCAGACAAGACTGAGCGACTAAGCACAACACAGCACATATTTGATTTAAAATATTGTGGTAATTTCCAGTTGAGGTAGTGATTCAGTTTAACTTATATATATATGTATTTCTTCTTATGATATTGAATATAGTTTCTTGTGCTGTAACAACAGAATCTTGTTTATCCATTCTATATATGTTAATAGAATTTTGCACCTGCTAGTCCCAAACTCCCAATCTATCCTATCCCTCCCCTGCCACCCCAAGCCTCCAGCAATCACAAGTCTGTTCTGTGTCTAGTTTGTTTTGTAAATAAGCTCATCTGTGTCATGTTTTAGATTCCATATAAAAATGATAATAATATTTACCTTTCTCTTTCTGACTTACTTCGCTTAGTATGAAAATCTCTAGTTTCATTCATGTTGCTGCAAATGGCAGTTTGCTCTTCTTTTTTATGGTTGAGTAGTATTCCGGTGTATATATGTACCACTTCTTCTCTATCCATTCATTGGCTGATGGACATTTAGGTAGTTCCCATGTCTTGGCTATTGTGACTAGTCCTGCCATGAACACAGGGGTGCATGTATCTCTCGAATTATAATTTTGTCTGGATATATGCCCAGGAGTGGGACTGTTGGATCATACTGCAACTCTACTCTAAGGTTTTTGAAGGACCTCCATACTATCCTCCATAGAGGCTGTACCAATTTACATTCCCACCAGCAATGTTGGAGAGTTTCTTTTTCTACACACCCTTTCCAGCACTTATTTGTAGACTTTTTAATGATGGTGTTTTTGACCACTGTGAGGTGGTAAACTCATAGCTTTCATCTGCATTTCTCTTATAATTAATGATATTGAGCATCTTTTCATATGCCTTTTGGCCATCTGTATATCTTCTTCTGAGAAATGTGCATTTAGGTTTACTGCTCATTTTTTGATGGAATTGTTCATTTTTTGGTTACTAAGTTGTATGAGCTGTATGTATATTTTGGAAATTAAGCTGTTGTTGATTGCATCATTTGCAAATATTTTCACCCAGTCCATAGGCTTTTTGCTTTGTTATGAAAATTTTCAAATATTTGGAGATTAAACAAGATTCTTTAAATAACATATCAGTCAAAAATAGAAGTCATCCTTTTCCGGTAAGTGGCCTGAGCTGACCCTTAAAAATGGTGCGTTATTCACTCGACCCAGAAAACCCCACAAAATCATGCAAATCAAGAGGTTCAAATCTTCGTGTTCACTTTAAGAACACTCGTGAGACTGCCCAGGCCATAGAGGGTATGCATATCCGAAAAGCCACCAAGTTTCTGATGGAGGTCACTTTAAAGAAGCAGTGTGCCCTTCCGTCGTTACAATGGTGGAGTTGGGAGGTGTGCACAGGCCAAACAGTGGGGCTGGACGCAGGGTCGGTGGCCCAAAAAGAGTGCTGAATTTTTACTACACATGCTCAAAAATGCAGATAGTAATGCTGAACTTAAGGGCTTAGATGAAGATTCTCTAGTCATTGAGCACATCCAAGTGAACAAAGCCCCCAAGATGCGGCGCAGGACTTACAGAGCTCACAGTTGGATCAACCCCCACATGAGCTCTCCCTGCCACATTGAGATAATCCTTACTGAAAAAGAACAGATTGTTCCTAAACCAGAAGAGGAGGTTGCACAGAGTAAAAAGATATCCCAGAAGAAACTGAAGAAACAAAAACTTATGGCCTGGGAATAAATGCCGCAGAAAATAAATGCAAATAAAAGTAAAAAAAAAAATAGAAGTCAGAATAAAAAAAATTTAGTATTTTGAACTTAAATGAAAGTGAAAATATAACTTTTCAAAATTTGTGGGATGCAGCGAAATCAGTGCTTAGTAGGAGATAACATTAAATGTGCACTTCAGAGAAGATCTAAAAAGTCAATAATCTAAGCTTCCACCTTAAGAAACTAGAGAAAGAGCAATTTGTGCCTAGAACAAGAGGAGAAAAACAATGTAAAAGTCAGAGCACAAACCCATGAATCACAAACAGGAAAACAATCGAGAAAGGCAATGAAATCAAAAGCTCATTCTTTGAAAAAAAAAATGTTGAAGTCAATTCTTCAACATTAGCTTTGATGGTTTTTGTTAGAAAGCCTTTAGAAGATGAGTTGTAAGAAAAAATCATTTGTAGTTATCTGTATTAACATTAATCTTGCCATTAATATTTTATTGAACCACAAATTCTCTGGTTTTCTTAACACAGTTGATCTGTATAGTTATGTCTTTAAAATTATGTCTTTGCTGAGCAT